ATATATATGTATACGCAGAATACGAATTAAAGGCTATAGCATATATTTAAATATATAAAATATGATAGATCGTCATCATGTTTCCAGTGTATAGAATTAATAATTATATAAACCGAATACAAAATTGTATAATTTTAATTAATGAAATCAATAAAATTTTTATCTAGCAATAATGTATAATAAGTTAATGATTTTATAAATGAAAAATTCTAAGATTCAAAAGAGTTTAATTGTTGATAATTGTTTAAAGTACAGGCAAGATAGAAAAGATATGTCCATTAATCATCAGGAAATTACCGTCACGTCACAGCAAGGACATTAACTTGAACGTGAGTTATCTCCGCGAAACGTTCCTTAATAGAAAAACTGTTTGTATAGATCAATAAAAGGGCAACAAACATGACTTGCATACTGAATATTTTTATATTAACTTTATAGAAAAAGCTATTCACTACAAAATAATAATTATTATATCTTTATATATAATTTATAAACGCGATATTTAAAGAATAAAAGAGACAAACTATTTTTATCTATTTACACACAGGGAAAAAGTTTACTTAATTTAACTAAACATGTTTAATTTATCTATTTTGCTACAATAAATAAATTATTTATTCTAATAAATGACTATGAAAAAAATTCTTATAAGACTCTATAATATCTTATTTATAAAACACTTGATTTTTAAAATAAAAATTTTCCTAAATTACATTAATTTTCGTATTAAAAATTTTATTATTTAAAACTATTGAATAGAAACCATATTTTTATTATTATTTTTAAACTATAATATTACAAGTTGCAAAAATAATATTTTAAAATTATTATTTAATTAAAATAAAATAAAAAATTATTCATTGTGAATGTATCACACACGTCGCGTTTAAAATAAATATATAAAAGGTATACAAATAATTTAATTAAATGATATATATAGGATATGCAGTAGTTCAATTTATGATTAACAGGACTTTTTAGTTGAATAGAATTATTTCTATTTGTTATTATAATAGTGCGTAAAGAGAATTAATGATTCGTAACGAATTCGTATATATTTTATTTATAGTTTACTATCTTGCACATTACCCGCGATTCAATACGATAAACTGCATGGCAATAATAAGATTCCGTTATCGCTTCAACAGACTTTACCTATCGCTCTCATTAAGCGTTAATTCGCTTACTTATTCCTCATTAAAAAGCAAGTCTAGTATAAATTATATATATCTCTCTCTTTTATTTGCGAATGTTTTCTATGCACATTATTATAGACTATAATTATATTTTTTTTAAAAGGAACAATAAGAAATTGTTTTATACTTTTAATTTTACTCAGAAACTTAATTAATAATAAAATAATTATATTATGTACCTATAGTTCTCAAAGTCACATATTTTATATATGTAATATAAAGAAAAGACCAACCTTTGTATATATATTAGCAGAAACTGAATGCTCGACCGAATGTAAATATTCTAATTATCCTTTGGTGCAAGCTGGGATTATATACATAGTAATCAAATAAAATGGGGTGCTCTTAAGGGTCACGAGGTTCTATACCTATACTCACATTGCACGACTTCTTGCTGTGAGGTTAGTGACTTAGTGTAAGGATATCTGTAGGGTTTGTAAGGTTACCGCGTAAGCCTACAGTAAACTTGAGGTCATCTTAAAACTTCCGCCATGACAGTAATATAGCTTACACAGTAAAGTCGTGGTAAGTTTACATAGTAAGGTTGTGGTAAACTTATACACGGTAAGGTTGTTGTAATCTTTCCGTAACTTTACTGTAAGGTTGCTGTAAGGTTACTGTAAACATAGAGTAATATGAAAATATATTAAAAATAATTATACTATAATTTTTTTTGTAAAAAATTATATATTTGGTAAAGTACTTCATGAACCCCAATACGGTTTATCGTTAAATAAAAATTACTGCGCAGCCGTATGTGCCATAGAAAACTACTGCGCATAAATATTAATCAAATTTATTTATTAATAACATTCTATGTTTACAGTAACTTTACAGCAACCTTACGGAAAACTTACAACAACCTTACGGTGGAAGCTTACCACAACTTTACTATGTAGACTTACCACGACCTTACTGTCTAAGCTTACCTCAAGTTTACTGTAGGCTTACGCAGTAACCTTATACAAACCCTACAGATATCCTTACACTAACCTCACAGCAAGAAATTGTGCTATGTGGGTATGGTTTTATATTGCACTTAAGATATTCTTTTTTTTTAATTTTTTTTTAAATTTCATTTCAAATTTTTATTAAAATTTTCATTTAAAAAATAATCCCAAATCCTTGAATATTTTGCGAAAAAGAACAGAAACAAATTTTATACAGTATAATGAGCACTATTCTATATTTTCTTCAATGTATTTATTTATTTATTTAGGAATTACAGACGGGTGATAAACCCATTACAAAGTTTAAATTGTAGACAATAATTTTGTCATATAAAAAAAAACAACTAAAGATTAACATATTAACATATTATGGCCATAATTATTATAAATTATTATTAAATTTTAAGAACGGTTTCACGCAGCTTAGCAGTAAACCTATCTATAAGCTAACTCCAAAAAAGTCCAATACATCACTATAAAAATTTATTTATTTATTTAATTTGAATTAAAAAAAAAAATGACAAAAAGAATAAATTGTATCAATAAGATATTTGGATATGATTTGAAATTTTTTTACACTTTATATTGTAAAAATAATTTGTTTCTCAATAACGATTTTTAATAAGAAAATAAATTATAAAATGTATTTTTTATAATCCAAAATTGCAATAATTTACCCCCAATGCACCGAAACTTTCCTAAAGATTTATTTGAAATGTTCGGAATATTTTATTGCAATGTTTAGTGAAAATTGTATAAAGATTTAAATGTCCCGATTAAATAAATGTTTAGTGTGAAACTTTCCTGAACATTTAAATTTTTACACAATTTTCACTAAACATTGCAATAAAATATTCCGAACATTTCAAATAAATTTTTAAGAAAGTTTCGGTGCTGTGGGAGAATAATTTTAAAATCAAAAAAGAATAAAAAAAATTATGTATAGGGTAAGTGTATGAATTACTGCTGATGCGCCAATTACTGCGATTTTTATAAAATTAGTAAAACTTAGTAATTGAGAACATAAAACTGTTTCAAAATGACTTTAAAACTTATTCCAAATGATATTTGATATTATATCCACTAATGATGCAATATTTCGACTATTATCAAATTATTTATTCAAGTTACAATTGAACCTATCACAGTAATTAGAGCATGCGTATATGTTTCTCATGCTGCTATTACTGTGGTCTATCCAGTCAACATAACCTCTAAATAAACACTTTTAGTGTTGCAGTAATTCATGCAAACTTGCAGTAATACCAGCATATGCCATTTTTAAAAAAGTTAATATTTTTAATAATATATTTGTTATTTCTTCAAGTTTAAAGTATCGTTTCTATTTTAATAGACACTAATAGTGATTTAACAAAAAGTATTAAATCATTATTTAATTTACACTTTTATTATTTTATCATTAAAGTCGGCCTTGGGTTGTACATCACAGTAATTGGGACATTTACCCTACATGATCACAGAATAACTTTCGACTGGTTGAAATATTATAAATTATACAAAAAATTTTTTCTTTAAATTTTTGGTATTCTGGCAGAGACTTACACGATTACACATAAAATATTGGTCTCAGTGGGAATATTATTTAGCCATGGCTAACAATAAATTAATCAATTTTTATTAATTTTTATCATAAAAATTATATATTAATAAACCGTAGCACTAAATTATAAATATGAAACTCTCTGAAAAAGTCTTACAATTAGAATCAAACGAATTATATAGGTTTATGTTTCCGATACTTTTACATTGTAAAAAATTACTCGCATTTTTTACAATGTACCTGGAGTAAAAGTTTATTTTTTATTTATGTAACATCAAAATAAGTTTTTATTGAAGTTTTGGATGTAATGAAGACTTAAAAATCAATGATTTGTACTGTGAATTGATTCTGTATTTTTACTTCAAAATTTTATATATTATAACTTTTATATTTGTTGAAAAACAGGATTATACTGGATCAAAAAATGATTTATTTTATTAATAATAAATCACAAAAAAATTACTGACGTTTCGACACCAAACGTTGGTGTCCTCTTCAGTGTATATAAAACATCTGTTGAAACAAAAAATACAATTGTCATGAATTTGTGGATTCTAAGTTTCTAACCTCCATAATGTTGACAACACTTTTTATTGACCAATTTAAATTTAAAATAATTTTTATAAATTACTTACCATATTGAAAATTAGAGGGAAAAATTTTTTGGAAAAACAAACATGTTCTCATAAAGAGAACATGTTTATTAAATTAAAATTTACATGATTATATTTTTTGTTTCAAACCACGTGTGTAAACAAAATCTACTCTATAAATACAAGTTTTAAACTCATTCATTCGTTGTCGATTAAAGGTTATGCTTGTTTTACATGTGAACCGTGTCTCCAAAAAAGGCGCGAAAATTCAAAAAAAAGAGAATTCCAAAATTCATTCAAAAAAGAGACTTGGAAATTGAAATAGAAAGATCACAATTTACTTTAAAGATAATCTATTAACCATTCAAGTGACCTATTTAAAGTGAAGATGTCACCCTTCAAGTTTACAGCATTGTCTTTTTCTTTTTTAATGTATAACATCTCCATTAGTTCCCTCTTTCTCTTGTCTGATTCAGTATGTAAAACTTCAACTTTGTCCCACATAAAATCATGATCATTATTTTCTGTTTTGTGTTTCGATAGGACATTGTGGTAATATTCATTTTTGTCGAAATTCGACTTATGTTCTTTAACTCTGATGTCCAAGAGTCTTCCCGTTTGTCCTACGTATAATTTTTTGCTTCTTTTAGGTCCCTTTCTTCAGTGTGCAAAAACAAGAAAAAAAAATAAAAACACTAACCTGATACACGTTCATCATTAACGATCAGCTCCGAGTCCTCCACATCCACAAGACTTCTGATGCTGAAGACACTCTTTGCAATTCGCGTTTTCTGATGCTCCGAAACGCCTTCCGGCGGACGTCGCGGTGTCGTGCTAAGATCCATTCCGCGTCGGTAAATGACTGCCTTTAAAAGTGCACTTTTCTTCACACTCTAACAATAATTACTGTTTATACTTAACATTTTTCTTTCTTTTTCTTTCTTCCTCCACTAAATTAAAAATCCCACCATTCACAAGTTCCGGTGCATAAATACCTATTCTGGTAACACTTCAATATCACACTGTTATCCAATTTGAGAGTGAAAATTTTTTTTACGTTCTGAATTATTTACTTAATGACACTTATGTCTCATAAGAACCAAATTTTTAATATTTCTTCTATTTGATTCCTTGCAATCTGTTTATAGTATACTATATAATCTGTTTATACTTCTCATCAAGGGAAAATAAATTTTTTGTTCTATCTCTCTCACTATTAATAATAATTGACCTGGAAAATTTGTTTTGAGGTGAGTTGAAGGCCTTTCTCGATGAAGAGTCTGTCATTGTTGACGTTGCAAAAATTGTTTCGAAAGCGAGAGTTGACAATGACTGTAATCAACTGATGCCACTCTAGTAGCATAGTCACGACAGGTTCTCTCTACTGATGCAGGACATTAGTTTGCGGTGTGCAGCGTCCTTCTGCTCCAGTCCTAATTATTTCACCGCTAACGAACCTCGTAACCTGCATTCTCTTGACATTCATTAAGAATGTAATAATGCTTACGACACGCGGCTTTTATTCCACAAAATTTGTCTCCAATAATAAGATTCAGAAAAGCACACATGCAAGTTAATCATCACTTTCATCTTGGCCAAATTTTTTAACTACGATTTCCCTCTAAACCAATTTCTCAAAACGGACGGATAAATGGTTGTATTTATAGCTAATTAGAGATCTTTCAAATTAGCCGAAATATTATGAATTCTTCGAATTTTGTTGAATGTTGAAGAATTTGGATGCTTAATTTTCTGATCATTAGTTTGATGATTGTTAAATAATTTGATCTGTAATTTTGAAAATTGTATATAATTTTAACACATTTCTTTCGTTATGTTGATAATGGTGCCAGTTGATGCTGCCAATTGTTGATGGTTTAATATTGTTGCCAAGCCTTGATTTCGTTAACGACTCTTGATTAAGACAAATAAATGTTATCAATATATTATAATTATTATTTTCAATACCAATAATATATTTTATTTCTACCGTCTGATAAGAACACCCAGCATCAGAAACTTGTATTAAAAAAAAAAAATTTTAATGCTGATAATAGTTTATCTGTAACTGTTAATAATTTTTATTGATGTCAACCTCAATTTTTGATTGTATCAACTTTTGAAGATGACATCCTTTATTTCTACTGTTGATGATTTTTGTTGATATAAACCCTCAATATCAAAACAATCGATTTTGCTTAAGACATCTTTAGTATCCAATTCTTGACGACTGATATATTCACAATCCTTATGGTATAAAAATTTTTCTATGACCAATTTCAAATAACAATTTGTTTGTTTGTTGTTGAAGTTTCTAATAATTAATCATCAATTTCGGTTAATTGACTCAAAGACAAATTTGATTAATTTGTTTGTTAATTATCTCCTTCTTGATTATATCTGTAAGCATGTCCAAAAAATAAAAATCCCTTAAATTGATGATGCCAAAAGTGGATCTTGATTAATGAGTATCCATATAGAAGTTGATGTTACAAGGCACTTGTATATAAAAATACGGAAAAATTGGAAATAAATTAATGAAAAAAAAATTGTATTTGCTAACAAGGTAAATTAGAGGAATTATTATTATTATTAGAAGAAGAAGAAGAAGAGTTTGATGGTTGACAGCACGCGCACACAGGTTTCACGGTTCGATGAAACGAGGGTCCGGCACGAGCACACGCGTTTCGCGGACTCCTGGTCAACAATGTGCTTTGATCATGTTCCCTCCACCTGAAAGAACGCGATCGACCCACCAAGAAGTAAAGAGGGACGGTGAGAACGCCTCCAATGAACAAAATGGAGTCTTTTAGAAACGCCTTCGTAACACCCACATTAAAAACATTCACTATATATACGCTGTGTGGAACGAGGGTTGACAAGGTACTTAATTCGGTACATTAATGGATCTTTAATACTGCCAGCACTCCCTAATTTATGTGTATCTTTATTTTTGCACGCTAGCTATTAAAGATTAACGAGTCAACATCATTAAAGTCCAGCTTCCAAAAAGGATAATTATTGTGAAAAATTTTTATTAAATACATATATATATGTATGTATATATTAAAGTGTGAATTTTATGTATATGATAAGAATAATAACGCAGCATCAGAAACTTGTATATATAAATATAAATATGATTGTCATTTGTGAATGATGATGATAATCATCATGCGCTATAGTTTATGATCATTATTATCAACATCTGATTTATTGAGATGGTGATAAAAGATGAAAAATTATTAATTAACGATTTTAATCTTTAGGTCATGAAAATCTCTAAATATTGAAATCTGAAAAAAATCATTGATACGTCAAATTAGTTGCTAAATTCCAACTATTTCAAGTAGTATATGTGTGTTTTCACTGACAATTTTACTGATTCGAATTGTTAGAATTTACAAGTTAGAATTTAGCGACTGATTTCACATATCAGTAATTTTTTTACTGATTCAAATTTATAGATCAAAAATGTCTTTTCAGAACACTATATGCAAACCAAAAATCAAACCGCACCGGACAATTTTTTTTTTAATTGCTACTCGGAAATTTTCGAAGCAGTTAACTTTTTCCAGGATAGGAATTTTCGTAGGAACATATTCGAAGCTTTATTAATATGAGATTAAATTAGCAATAAATTATAATGGTTGTTACGTATCAAAAAAATTATTTATATCGACTCACCCTTACATTCTCTAAATTTGAATCAGCGACTATTCGCTAGTAATAAGCGAATTTTCAATGAGTGATTATTCACTTATTCCCATATTTTTTTATTTTTTTGAAAAATTTTCGAGTTATGAATTTTCAAAATTTCAGTTTCTTCAATGTATAGGCCTATTTTCAATGTAATTCAAAAAATGTATTTTTTCAATTTCTGATAAAAAAAAAAAGTTTCAGTTTCTCTTTTACTTTTCAATAATGTTAACAAAAAAATTTTTTTGTCATTTTTTATTTAAAAAATATCAATTTTTTATAAACAAATTAAGTTTTTTTTAATTTGGATATGATATTTTCTTAATTTTTTTATTAAACATACATGGAAATACTAAGAAGATTTTGCAAAAAAATTTAGAGTGGGCCGATAAGTTTGATAGGTTTCAATAAATATTTAAACACACCGCGCAGCATTTTTCGCATTTTTGAAAATTTAAAAAAATTGTAAAATTATTAAAAATAATTTTTTTTATTATTTTTCATAGTGAAATATGATTTCAGGTTCCCAAAAAAATGAAAAAAATAATTTTTTAAAATTTTACAATTTTTTATAATTTTGCACATTTCTGAAAATTACAAAAAATTGTTAAAAATTATTTTTTTCATTTTTTTGGGGAACCTGAAATCATATTTCACTATGAAAAATAAAAAAAAAATTATTTTTAATAATTTTACAATTTTGTTTAATTTTCAAAAATGCGAAAAATGCTGCGCGCGGTGTGTTTAAATATTTATTGAAACCTATCAAACTTATCGGCCCACTCTAAATTTTTTTGCAAAATCTTCTTAGTATTTAAGGGTCGACGGAAATCTCACGTGATTTCGCCCATAAATATATATATTATAATAAGTTTTGGTTCCCATTTATTGTTTATTAACATTTAACAGGAGAAGAGAAATAACTTTTTAGAATTGTAAATAAATTAGAATATAAATCAAAATCATAAATATATTAAGCTTACCTTAAAAATGGATGGAACACTTCCCTTTTTTAATACAATTTGCTTCCGTTGCACATCAGCTTCTTTTCCATCTTTTGATACAGACACTAACCAAAGACCCTAACCGAGAACCTACTCGACCAACTATTAGAGAAAAAAAAAAACTTGCTCTTAACCCTCGACTGTTTTTAAGAGTTGAAAGACAGTTGAAAAACGATGAGGGTGCGCGCCAGTGTAAACAGCTACCGCGACGCGGTATGAGTCGAACGCCTCGCCGCGCGCGACCAAAACTTTTAAATAATTATTATTATTTAAAATTTTTGTTCACCACATTGGATCCGACATTTTGATAAACTGAAATTTTTTTATTTGATTCCAATAATCATTTATACTTGACTGTTATCAAATAAATATTTCCTTGAACCAAATATAATTTTTATTTATGTCAAATAATATTTGTTTCAAATATAAAAATTATTGGTTCAAATCCATTTTTTTTAATTCAAATAAAAATTATTTGGTTCAAGTAAATATTTATTTGATAATAGTCAAGTAATTTATTATTTGAATTAAATAAATTTTGGTTTAGTGTATTTTTAAATCTGACAGCGAATTTGGATTTTTTGAATTTTTTTGATTTTCACTAAAATACGAAGGTGTTATACAAAATTATCTTGATACTGATAGAAATCCCGATTCGAAACAAATTTTTTTTTTTTATTTTACTTTTGATTTTATTATAAACCCTTTAGTTGAGCCATATAAAGTTGGTCAGAATGAATACTTTTTTAACATGAAAAACTTAGTCTCTAAGTCAATAAAGAAAATTTTTTTAAACTACGAAAAAGTTCTGTAAGAATAAATAGTTTTCTTTGACTCAGTGCTAGTTTTTGTAAAAATTAAAAAAGATTCTCGTAAGTAAAAAATTTGCTTTAATCAAAGTCTAAAATTTCTCTAAAAAATTATTTTTAACCAAATATATTTTTTTTTTTTAACAAAAAAACAAATTTATTTAATATTTATTATTAATTTTGATTAAAACAAGTTTTCTTTAAGTAAAATGAATTTTTCTTCGTTTTAAGAAATTTCATTGGTTACAAGATGTTAAAAATACGCGTATCTTTCCATTTAAACATAACAATAAACGTCACAAGCTGCATTCAATAATAATTATTTCTAAATTGCTCATGTTTAAGAAAAAAAAAAAATAATTTTAAACCTCTTTCGAGGAAAAAATATGAAAAATTTGCCTATATTAACAAAATGAACAGGCTGGTATAATCAACGCAATATTTACAAAATTGGTACTTGCATAAAACAAGAATATCTTGTCCCGCGTCTATATAATCTTGAGCCCGCATATTAATAAAACATCTCTATTAAATTGAAGCACGCAAGTAATAAAGTATAATTTTCGCGTTTAATGAAATAAAATAATGTCCGCTCACGTTGAATAATATAATTTTTCTATCATAATAAATTGTCAAAGTACCTATATTATTCTGAAATATTCTCGAAAATATATATATATATATATATATATATACAAGGGATGTCTCTTGTATTAAATAGAATATAAGAATAATATAATAAATAAAAATAAATTTATAAAAAAAAATCAAATAAATTTCTAATATCAATAAAACAGATAAATATGCGTAAATAAATAAATATGAATAGATTTGGAATAATAATAAAAAGAAATATTTTTAATCATCATGCAAATACTACATTAATTTAAGTTAAAAATTAATTATTTACACACTATTTTATAAATTCATTTTTATAAATAAAACATCATGAACTTTTTAGCGGTGATCGGTTTATTGTTTACACTGATATATTCAGTAATATATAATATATATATATATAATTGTATAAGGTATTGTGCACAATATAGTTGTCGTTGAAAGGTAGATTCATTGTGTATGTTTCGAAATTATTTTTTTTTTCTCAAACGAAACATATATGAATTTGAATAATTTCAAATTCATTGACAGGAAACTTTGGCTGTTTGGAAATATTTTTAAAAAAAACTTTGATAATCTCAGTTCAATCATTATTGTTCATAAAATTAACTAATGGCAGTCGAATAATGTAACGTCTTAAAAAACATTTATCTAGATTCCAATTGTGAATGTTTCATTCAACTCGCGTGTAAGATAAGTACAATGCAATAATTTTTTTTTCTTTTTTTTGATTTATAGTAAATTTGCTCGAGTAATTTACTATCATATCGTTAACGAAACTGAAATTAATAATTTATACCTACATTATTTTTTAAGACTATCTATATAATATATATATATATATGTCGCAGAAAGAAAGTCGCGCAATATAAGAAAACGTATAAAAAGCATGCGCTGTCTGACTATTTTCAGACTCTTTTTTTTCAATCACATATTTTAAATTAGATTATTTTGACATTTTGAAACCTACATTTAATTCTATAAATTGACTCTAATGCCGCTTTTATCATAATAGAACTGCAACTAGTATATAAATCATTTAAAAGTCTGTCAATGAGTATAATCGTTTTTTTTTTTTTCAATTTCAATATTTTTTTCCAGAAACTTAATTTTCGAAGAGTTCCGGAAACTATAGAATCAACTAGAATCTATGTTAACAAAATAAACTAGAATTTCTGATGAAAAATCTCTTGAACCATTTTTTCTTCGTGAAAACTATTTTTACAGAAATCAAAGTGAAAAAATTATTTTCAAGAATGAGATGGTTGAAGTTCAAAATATTTATGATCAAAGATTAAAAAAAAAAAAAAAAAAAAATATTCTTTGATACGAAAAATTATAAAAAATTTTTATTAAGAAATTTTCTTTTACACTTTGTTGATCAATGAACAAAAGAAATATTTTTTTTTACCAAAAAATTCATTACAAAAAATTTTTTTTTAAAAATTCTTGATCATCAACATTGTGAACTTTATACCATCGTTTTCAAGAAACGAATGAAAAAAAAATTAAAAGTTTTCGCACAAAGAAAATTGATATCAAAAGTTTTTCATCAGTTTTACTATATATATACTGATATAGGAAAAGAAATATTTTTGCTTAATCAAGAGTTTGAACGGCCCTCGACTCAACAAAAAAGGTACATCTTTGGCATAAATATACACAATATATTAAGCGATTATTGATAAAAGCTGTGAATCAGCTTTCAAAGTTTGATTTCAAAAATGAAATCAAGTTTTTTTTTCCTTTTTTTTAAATCAACACATCACAATATATGAGATCGCCTCTATCCTTGATCATTCTAATTATAATATAATTTTTGTTCTTTGAAATGCTGCTTTTTTTAGTAAAGCAAATTTTTTTTTTTTTTAATCAATTAGTAAAGGCAAAAACATTTGATTTGCAGAAAAAAAAATTATCTTCAGTTATTATAATATAAAAAATCTCTTATAGGCCTCAGTTTTGAATAAATCACAAAACCTATACACGTGTGTGAAACCTTTGCTATCGGTTGCTGGTGACTCAGATTTTTCTAACTAACTTATCGACAATACACTCATTCACATATATACCAAAAATTTAGTCAGATCATTTTTTCTATAAAAAAAAAAGAAAAACAAAAATCTTTTTCACTAGTAAATTTTTCATCACAAAAAAAAAATTATATAAATTATTGTACAAATATTGCACTATTGTCAAAAATTAAATAGATGAAGAAAATTACACGAAAAAAAATACATTCCGTTTAAATGATCTCACTAGACTTTTAGCATTACAAACAACAATCACACTCTCTCTCTCAAAAAAAAAAACATTTTGCATGCATTTTTTTTTATATGCACTAATTTTCGACTATTGAAGTTATATTTGAAAAAAAATGCCTATAACTATACATATTCTATTTGATTTCCGCTGTCTAGATTTATTTATATAAATATTAACACATCTCAAGTTTGGACTTTTATGAAAAAATGAACTGGATTTGCAAAGTTGAGTTTGATTAAAAATATTGTTTTCTTAATCATTTGGCGAATCCTAGCTACATAACGCAACACATTAACGTGTATTAATGTTAATGTCATGGCAGGTGAAATTTCTTTTTTTTTTAACTTCTATATACTCAAATTATAAAAAAAATATTAGCAAGTACTAAGTGAGCAATGATTTTTTTTCTCGAAATAGTTATTTCTAACTCGATACATTCATCGAGAGTTTAAATTTAACTTTTTTACGGAGCATATCATTTTATCTCGGTCTCGATATTATAAATTATGCTCAAAATGTTCGTAGAAAAAGTTAAAATTTGTTTTTTTTTTTTTTTGGTAGTTTTTGGAGATGAACTAAACTAAGCGGGTATGTGATTGTTTAAATTTGCGGATGGTGAACTGTGAAGTGGTGATCGTGTCTGATGAAATCTCAATAGTTCCGCAACTGTTACCGCAACTCGCACGATTCCTCGTCCGCCTTCCAAAACATCGCTGGCACAACACACCAAATTCTAAAACAGAAAATTAAAGAGAAATATTCTTTAAAAATTCCAAATTTTTTTTTTTTAAACATAATATTGAAGAATATATATAGAAAATAATTAGAGAATTCCACTCAGAGAAATTGCAAAAATAATTTTAAATTCAAAAAAAATCTTAAAATGTGTTACACTATTCTTTTTTTTAAATTTAAATAAAACGAAAATAAAATTTAATGCAAACACGGAATTCTTCTAAATATATGAATTTATTTTTAAATTATATATATGCTTACTTAGGGATGCAGCATCACAAATTCTAAAATGAAAGCATCTTATTATATGATTCTTGATTTGCATTCATATTTCATTCATGAAACTCTCTTCGATTCTCTTAATCCTTTTAACGATTTCTTCCGCATTTAAATGTTCAATTCTCTTCAATCTTCTTCATTAAAATTTAGAAAAAAAAATTCAAGATTTTTTTTCTTTTTTTTGAAACAAATTTCGAGATCTTCTAAAAGTGAAGACTTTAATACAAAAGATAAATACAATTTTTTTAAAAAAAGTATTAAAAAAGAATCATTTTGTTATGTAAAACTTAAATAAATAAATAAAAACAAAATTTAGTCCGTAAAAATTGTTTTGAAAAAATCAAAATTTATCGCGAAAAATATTTTCAAAAAAAAAACAATTTTTGTTAAAAATCATTTTATTTAAATACAAAATTAAACAAAATTTTTTTTAAAAAATTCAGAAAATTTAAAAAAAAATTGTTTGAGAAATTCGTAGCATATCCAATATTCGACAAATTAAAAAAAAAATTGTTTTAACTATAATTCACTTATTTAAAATTTAATAGTTTTAAAAAATGCCATTAGTTTTCAATATATATATTTTATAAATTCAATTTATTTCATTTTAATTGTTGTATAAATTTAATTATAATATAAAAATTACTTATTTTGCAATTTAATTATTTATAAATTCAATCAGAAGAAAACTTCAATCATTTTGAATTAATTAAAATGTTTTTTTTTTCTAATTTATTGAACATGAAAAAAAAATTAATAAAACTTTTCAAAAAAAAAAAAAATTCGACTCGTTTTTCTGTTTTTTAAAGTTTCAAAATTTTATCTTTCAATGTTTTCTTTTACACAAAATGTTCACATAAAGCTCTTTTATATAAAAAAAAGCATCAAACATATTAAAAAAAATTCTTTATTAAAAATGGCAATGTTTTTACAGTCGTCATTATCAATATTGTATATAAAGCAGTAAACAATTTTTGGAGCAATTTTAACAAAAGAAAGAGAGAACCATTTCTCTTTTATATACAGTTTCACGCACAATTTTCGACAAATATGATTTTTTATCTTTACTATTTTTTTTTTTTTTTTTTGACACGTTTCGAAATTTTTCGGAAAATGAAAATAAAATTACACTCAATTTCTTTAAAAATTCAACAAATAAAAGTTCAGTAAAATTTAATACACTATGTACTTTTTACCAACTAACATAGAAGAATATGTCAATTTGTAAAAAAAATAAAAATTATTAAAGTTTCTTTTTATTTGCTAAATTTTTAATAAAATAAAAACAAATTTAAAAAAATTAAGGCACTGAAAATAATAATAAGTAAGACTGATTTTCAATCATGAGAATATTTATCAAATCATATTTGTGAAAATAAAAAATATATATTAAAGAAAATAAATTGTGAAATATATAAGTAGAAAAAAATATTTTTGAAAAATTAACAAAATTATAACCTATTAAGTACAAATATAGAAATACCGTATGTATTAATAAGTAAAATATTATAATAACATAAATGTAAGGAGAGTGTGTCTACATCATATAATGCCAAAGTGGGCAAAATTTCATTAAATGCTTAAAAAAAAAAAAAAATAATAAACATTTAAACTAAACAATTTAAAACCAAGCACCGAGAAAAATGATAATTTACACGCGATAAAAAAGTAACATCAACAAACTACATGTATTCTATATATATTATTATAAATCATAATCTTAATAATAATACCTTTCGATTTTGTATTTTGCACTAATATTATATATACTGTTCAAATATAATGCAACGGAATGGTATTTTTTATTTCTTAAAATCTATATCGACTTTATAGATTATTTTAAATATAAAAAGAAAAAACAACTCCATTTTTTTCCACTTGGTAACGAAATTTTTTCATTTTTCTTCACCAAAATTCAAGAAGCAACGAAAAAAAAAGTCAAGAGTTAAAAAAAACGACCATTCCGCATTTCTTTAATTTTAAATATACAGTCTTACATTGCGTTTGCTTATAATATTCGTTTTGGAGGAGATGGGGATTCCACTAGACTAATACTGATTGATGTAATCACTGTTTCAAAGGTAAATGTTAAAAACTTCATTTTTAGAAGTCATTGATTATTAATAATTTTGGAATAATATTTTATAGTTTATAAGTTGTAACAAAAGTAGAGTCTTCTATAATAATAGAATAGTAAATATTTTTTTTTTTTTTTTATCAAAAATCTAGTCAAAGTATGACTATATATTATGTTTCAATTGAAGGAGAAATAGATATACATTGTATAAGAAACTTGCAAATGGAAGGATTTCGTTTCGTTTTTAAATAGAAACGATTCTGACTAGAAAAGAATACGCAATAACAAAGACTAGCATCAGAAATATTTAGCTCCAGCTATTGCAATGTAATTCCATCGAATCGGTAATTATAATGCGATTACATACATCTTTTCTTAGTGTTTTTTTTTGTGTGTGTTTTCTTTAAAAAATAAGTTCTCGTCTTTTATATATTTATATATAGCTGTAGAGTAACTCGTGCGTACATTTATATAATATATATATATATATATACTTTTATGATATATAGTTCGCTATTGTGATAAGAGGCAACGTACACTGAATTTCATCAGTTTAATATTCACTTAAAATTTTTCATTTTTACTCAAGTATAAACTTTATTTCAAAGGAATTTAAAAAAAGAATCAGATAAACAATTGAAATTATAATTTAACAATATTTTAAATTATTATTTAATTATAAGAATTGAAACGAAATAATTTATTCTTCAATAATAATTTGAAAATTAATTATTTGATATGTAAATCAATATTTCAGAATAAATTTTTCATAAAAAAAAAAAAATTTTAATTTCAGGCTCGATATTATTTTGATATAAAATATTTTTGTAACAATTGTTATTTTGTACAACGATTAAAATTCAAAATGTTATTTTGTACAATTGAAAATAACAAAGTTATTTTTTTTTAAATAAAATTAAAAATATAAGTAGAAAATAACTTTTTGAATTTTAATGGTTGTACAAAAGAAAATTATCGCCAGGTTGTACAATATAACAATTGTTACGAAAAATTTTGTGTAAAAAATAATAATGACCCAAATTTCAAGAATATTAATTATTTTTATGTAAATTTGCTTTTTAAATTTAAATTTCAAATTTTCTTTTTTAAATTTAAATTTTCTGTTAAAAAAATAATAACAGTAGGAACTAAAAAGATTTTAAAGATTAATTTTTTTTTTTGTAATTACTTTTGTTTAAAATGCCGATAATAAAGTTATAAAATAAACTTTCTTTAAAATCTTTCTAATGTTCAGTGTTATTAATTACAATCAGAAATTTGGCAATTAATTATTTCGATTGAGATACAATTTTTCTAAAAAAAATATTTTCTAATTTTTTCGTTTTCGCTATTTTATTTTTATTTTCTACCAAAGTTTCATTTGTAAATTTTCATTTTTCTATATAAAAAACCAATTTCTGAATTTTTATTTTCTTATATTTTTGGTAAAAAATATTTTAGAAATAAAAAAATTTTTGTTTAGAAAACAAATTTCAATAAAAAAAATTTTTTTTAGAAAATAATTTTTTAATAAAGTGACTCCCTAACCGAAATATCAAAATAGTTTTATCAATTGCTTCTCTAAATCTTCTTCAATTTCCTCCGGTTCATACATGAAGTTTTTTTTTTTTTTTTTTATTAAATATAGTATATGCAAATAGTTGAATTGCATTATACGCACTTAAACCATATAATATACATGAAGTAATGTGCCTGAATTTCTAAACGTTCATATAAACTAAAAATTTGTTTACTACTTTTTAACTTCAAATTTTATTGTGAAATATTCATCCAAAAAATAAATTAATAATTTATTAAATGCTTAATGTATGTTTTTTTTTATTTTTTATTTCTATAATAATTTTTAATAAATTTATAGACTAAAAAAAATATTTCCTTCATTTAAACGTTCAGAATTTGAAGCACATCACGAATAAACATTTATTCTCTGCGCATGTTTGTATGAAAAATAAAATAGCAAACAACAGGCACCATTCCTCTATTATCTATACTACAATATATGGGGATAAATATACAAAATAAAAAAATGTCCCATTTCTGTTGTATACGTATAGAATAATGAATAAAGAAAATGCTACCAAATAATTTATATAAGTAAAAAAGAGACACCCTCGATGGGAAAATGAAAAATTTGAAAAGAAATTTCATTAATGAAATATTTCTAGCACCATATTCTACATACCCAATTATTACCATTCTAAATCACAGACCTAACATGTTTTTTTTTTTTTTTTTTTTTTTCTCGCAAATCGCAGACGCGTCTTGGTCAAATCCTATTCAAAGAGGTATGATTCTACCATTAAAGGCATATCGAATTCCTGCAGAGCCTTTATAATGACTCGTGAAATTAATTTTTTTTTTTTTATAATGACTCGCGCGCTTAAAATGAGTCAAGAAACTAAAAGAATTAACAATTCGATAATATTCTCGACCAGCGAATAATACCGAATAGTAAAAATATAATTTTCATTAATTCCATTATTTCGGTAAATGTGTAAAAAAAAAAAAGAAAAAAATTATTTTTGCAAAATTCCAGATTTTTTTGTTTAAAAACGATTGGATGAAAAATAATATTAGAGTAACCCCTTGTTATTTTGAGCAATTGATTTAATTGTAATTTTTCCCTTACTTCGAGAGAGTGCTCTTGTCTGGTAGTTTCTCTTATTTTTTTGTCAACTTTTCTCATTCATACCGTACTTTTATCTTCTCCAATGATCATCTCTATTAAAATAATCCTTTTTTTTATAGAACAAGTTTTTAGAAATCTCATTTTTATTGAGTATTTTATATTCGTTTTCAACTTTTTAGTATTAATTTACAGTTTTTTTTTGTTTTTTTTCTGTTTAAAACTTTATTTACTTTTCGCAATTTAAAAGGGAAATCTTTTTATGAAAAAAAGCTTTTTTTTCTAAAATCATTTATACCAAGATAACAAAAAACTTTAATTCTATAAAAAAAAAAAAATGTTCCTCCTTATTATCTATATATTATTAAATGCCCAACAGCTGCACGGAAACAGATATCAACATAGTATCAAGCTGCCGATAATAACCCTGATATTTAAAAAATTACACTGAACAATTTTTGACTAAAAGCACCTTGTATAAAAAAAAATTCTGACGGAATATATACGAAACTTTAAGTAAAATACTTAATAATTAAAATTAAAATATTAAAAAAAAGGACAAACTTTAAATAGGTAACTTCTTTATAAATACTCGTTTTTTAAATGCTTTAAGCATATCGCCGTATTATACTGAAAAAATATTGTATATATGTCGTTTTAAAAACACCATATATTTAATAAAGCTCCATTTAGTTTTGTTCAATAAACTCATAAAACAACAACTTTTTTTTTCAAGAAACGAAAAAAAAGTAAATACTTTTAAAAATTGCATAGAATAAAAATTATTTATAATAATAAAACAAAAAATACTATGCAATAATAAATTAATTAATTAAATTAATTAATTTCTATTCATTTTCATTTTAAAGCTAAAAAATGAATTATTTCATTTTTCTATAATTATAAATTCTTATTCAAATGAATGAATAATTAGAAAATATTTGAAAAAGTAAATAAGAAAAATAAAAAATAATAATACAATCCCCTCTCATAAAATATACAAAATTAAATGGAGCCAATTGTTTAAAACAAAAAAAAAAACGAAATAAATAATGTGTTTTGAGAACTATTCGATGTTCTCATAAGTACATACATTCTTGAAGCGTTTTGATAAAAAAAAGTCCCCGCTTACAGGCATAATGCTCGAGCTTTAAAATCAGTCATTATTTATGAAAATCATGAACACGATAGAACGAAAATAAATTTAACCCAAGGGTTCTTCTAAGATTTTGGTTATTTCTATAGAACCTCATAAATAATTTAAAAAGAAAATTATTTAACGATTTTGTAAATTTTTTCCTATTTTTATTTATACGAATATTTTAAGTCCAAAAAATAAAGAACTTAGATTTTCTCATCCAGCTGATATTTTGAAAAAAAAACAATTTTCTTTTAATTTTCTTTCAATTTTGTAAAAAAAATTTTTCTTTATGATGAATGCTTTAAATTTGGTAAAAATTTCAAAATCCCTTGTACTGTTAAATAATAAATTACATTGGATGGAAATTTTGAACTTTTCACAAAAATCCATGTGAAAATTAAAATTTCAATCCGAGTAATTCAATTTTTTAAGGAACTCTGAATTTTTTTGTTAATGAATAAAGAAAATTTTCCCCAAAAAATTAAATAAAACTAAAATTTACAGAAAATCGATTTTTTCAAAAAAAAAATAGCTGGAGAACATTTTTAAAATTATCGTAAGACAATAAAAGTAAAATTTAGAAAAAAAAGAGTTGAATTTATTTCCGTTCCTTTGCAAAAAAAAAATGTAGATTTCTAAAGTATCAAAAATGCACTAGTGCTTACTAAGTGAATTGAATTTACTAATTTTACAATCTATTAATGCACTTATCAAAAAAAAAAAAAAAAAAAAAAAGGATTAATGAAATGAAACACAGCCGGTAGTTTCAAACTAGCGCATGATACGTATAGAAAATAGAAAGCCGCTACATTCATTTTTCGTTCGTTTTTTTGATTTTACTTCCTTATTTCTTTCAATTATTATTTGTAATTTTTAGCTCTATTTTTATTTTCTGCAAGCCCTTAATTTTCGTTTTTTTTTTTTCATTTCTTTTCTTTTAGTTAGGAATTGGAAAAATATAGAGAAGTGCCAAGACAGATAAGAACGTAGCAAAAAGCGTCGCGGATAAAACACGGTCCTGAATCATAGGGGATGAACCTGTGGCTGGTTTCTTGATGCCCTCTTCTTCGTGAAGAAGAAGAAGAAGAGCTGAAACTAGTCGGCCCAGAGCCTCCAGACCGTACGCGTCCATGTACCCAACGTCCATGATTGCATCCGCGTCCATTAACATCTCCTGCAACCAACAACGTTACTACTCAGTCCCAATTCTACACCATCGCATTAATTTTTTATAAATTTTTTTTTTTTGGGGTCGGCCCTTTTTCTATCAAATTTTAATTGAATTTTATGAGAATTATTGCACTGTACATAAGTAAATTTTATTTTATTTTCAACGAAAATTTAATTTCGAGTTTAAAATCAATAATTTTATTTTTTTTTTTGCAAAAATTTCAAAAAGAAATTAATTTAAATATTTAATATCACTTTAAATGAAATATTACAAAAATAATTGCAAAATTATTATATTAATTAACTAATAAAATTTGATATTTTTAAATTTTGTTATAATTATTGACAGAATTTAATTTTTAAAAAAAAAGTAAATTTGACACAATGGCACAAAGTTTGATAAAAATTTTATTTTTCCATTCGATAGAATTTAATTATTTTTTAATTTTCCATTTAGAATTTCAAATTTGTTCAATTTTTTTTTTTTTATCGAAGTTAATTTAAATAAATGAAAATAATCACAAATATTGATTTTAAACTGTCATTTAAAATTTATTGTGATTTTATATTTATTTACAAAATGTCTAGCACTAACGTAACGAGGTATAAAAAAGACAATGTTCAGTAAGAATTAGAATATCCCAAAAGAAAGCAATGAAAACACAAAAGCAATTTCTTCTAGGCGCATGCAACTAAAGCTCACTGACCAATTTACGTGATTGACCCTTTAACCACAACTAATTCTTATTCAACGAAAAAAAAAAACATATTGTGATGAATTTTACTGTCTGACATATTTTTAACAGAGAAAAATTAGTTACATTTTCTTAATTCAATGAACGGTGAATAGGGACTGACTAGTAGTTGTTGGGCCGATGTGAATGGGATTAGAAAACAGTATACATAAAAATGTAACTGTTCGGTGAATATAAATTATTTACATTTATTTATTGAAATAAACAATTTAAATTGTTTATTTTAATAGAAAATTTTTTTTAATCACTTCCCTTACAGCTTTCGAAAAAAAATATTTGATATTTAACCAGAAAATATTCTACTAATCGAGAAAACATATTAATTCTCATATATAATAAATTGAGAGGACTTACCTCATTAGATTATTAAATTTAATTTCTACAAGTGCTCTTTGTTAAATGTCATTTGATAGATAAAAAAAATGTAGAAATAATTTAAAAATTAGGAAATTAAATATAATTAAAATTAGGTGAATATGGCGAATTTCTTGTGAATTTTTTTTTTTTTTATGAGATGGATAGGATTGAAAATTAAGAAACTGAAAGCAATCAACTTATATCATTAATAATCAAAATGTTTGGACTTTTACCAAATTATTATCAAGAATATTTGAAATTAAATTAACAATTCTTTTCGTTTCAATAAAGAAATCATTTTTTAATTTAATTCTCATATTCTTATTTTCAATCATAGTCAGATTATTCAACTTTTGAATGTACTAGTTAATGAAATTCTTCATTTAATAAATTTATGAGTTAATTATATAATTATATTTACTTTAAATGACATAGATTTTATTTTATAATTAAAATTACTGGAACATAAAGATAAAAAAAAACATTTTTATAACATTTGTTCGGTGAAGTTAAACGATTAAAAATAAAAAAAAATATTTTTTCAGCGAAAAATAATAAAAATTTGTTAATACAGAAATTTTGCATAAATATTTTTAAACAAAAAATCATAATAATTTGCATAGAACATTTTTTTTTTCTAAATCGTTGATGATAAACATTGTAAATTTCACCGACGTTGAATTTTTTGTCAAAAATAAATTTATATTTTAAAATTTTACTATTATTTAAATTATTTCACTATTCATTTATTCAACAGATTTAATAAATATTTAGACAAAGTGAAATAAATATTTATTTTCCGTTGATTCCATTAAATGAGTTCATTCAAGAGTAGAAAAAAAAAAATCTCTGACATTGCTGGTTCATGCATGGTAATTGCACTTGAGCCAAAGAAAAGAGCCACGACGAGAGAGGAACAATTTTTTTTATTATTATTATTATTATTATTATTTTTATTAACTTACCTCATCAACTCCAATTTTTCTGCATGCCTCTAGGAAATTGTCCACATTTCTTCTACATCTTGCCATGGTAAGTTTAGGCTAAAAATAGATCATTAGGAAGGGTTTATAATTATTTTTGTCTCTTCATCAAAGAAGAAGGGAGTGAATTAAGTGGAAAACGGAAGTACTTACAACTGCCGGTGAAGGAACGTGAATACTAGCAACTGAGCGAGGACGAACATGATTTGCCAAATGGCAAAGAACAACACCATCAGTTAAAGCGGATGCAAGATCCTCTGGCAATGCCATTTTTAATCTCGTTTCGATATGCTGAAATTTAATAAAAAAAATTTTTTTTTTAATTCAACAAATATTTGTTTTATATTCTAAATAAATTATTTTAACTTAGAGAAGTTTGCAATTTTTATATTTTGATAATAAAAACGAGGAAAGTTAAAAAAAAATAATATATATTTTTCAAAAAGAGATAAAAAAAAATTTGTTATATTAAATGGACAAAAAAATTATTGCTAAAAAATCAAATTCACTTACATTTCTAAGTTGTTCTATCAAATCAGCTTCTTCCTTGGCACGTTCAAATTCTCTTCGCATTGTAAATGAATATTTTTCAGGTATATCGCTGTTCCATGTGACGGACCTCGTGGATTTTGGACTTCCACCATTGGAATTTGGAGTGTTGTTACCTATGTGAATAAAATAAAAATATAACTCTTCTGCCTTTTTGTCATTAAAATTAATTTAAATAATTTTGAAAATCATTTATTACCATCAACGTATCCAACAGCATTTTTTGTATGTCTTGGCACATGTCCTGGACTATAACTATTAGAAAGTATACTTGAGGAAGTCTTAATCGGCGAACTTGGCTTTTTGTAAGCTGGCTCTGATAGTTTTCCATTTTTATTATATTCGTTGTTGCTGCCATTAATAATCGGTGTATTTTGATAATTAATACGCGATGGTGTTACTTTTTGTACTGGTCGTTTATTGGCATTTTCTTCGTTGAATATTTGTTTACCAGTTAATGTTATTTCACCAGTTGAATCGGTTTCGTTGTTGCTCGTGTCATTACCCGGTGGAGTAATTTGCTCTCTAGGCCTATAGACACTAGGTCCTTCGTTGGCTCTTTGTTGCCTTAAAGCCTCTTTGTATTCTCTAAAAGAAATAAATATTTGTTTAAAAAAATTTTTTACTATTTTTATTATTACAAATATTATACTACTTAATTAACCTTTTTGTAAAGAAAATTATTATTGACAATTTTAGAATTTTTAAAAATCCAAAAGATTAATTATTTAAAATCATAAAAATAGTATTTCAAAAAAATTGTCGATGAAAAATAATAAACACTGTAGAAGTTGAATTTTAGAAAGAACTTGGAAAAAAATTAAACAAAATTTACATTGTTTACGTGTGTGTCAATTCTTTTTTTTTATTCGATACTGAAATCTACAAAGTTTATGATAAACGATTAGAAATCAAATTTCTTTTAAGACAGAAAATTATAAAAAATATTATCTAAAAAAATGTTTTTTATAAATTGTTGATTGATAAACATTACAAGAAATATATTTGAGACAAAAAAAAAATATTTCTTCCAATATTTATTAATTGGACATTTTTAATTAATTAAACATTTTTTTAAATTAAAATTTTTATAATTTTTCTGTCTTAAAACAAATTTGTTTTCTAATAATTTATCATAAACGTTGTGGACTTCAGTATCGTAATAGAAAAAAAAAATTAGTTCAAAAATAAAATATTTCATTGGAATTATAAATCATAGTTCCTTGTTTTTTTTTTTCAAAATTTAATTATTTTATTCACAAAAACCAATTCAATTATATATGAAAAACTCACCTATACGTTTGTGTGTGATTTAGTGGCCTTTTTTCGTCTCCATTTATGTGCGATACTGAATGATTTGTTGTTTGAAGTGACTGTACGGGTTGCATCGTCGCAATTGACTGTGTTTGATTCAATATCGTGCTCTCCAAGTGACTGTAAAAGAAATACAATGACATTCATGTGCGCATGCAAACAATATTTCTTATTATTTTAATTAAAGTGACACAAAAATAGAAAAATATCATTCGGGTGCATTTTTTTTTTTTTTAATTTACTTACGCAGGTGGTGTAATAGAGTTTTGATGAACATTGGAAATCATTGGCCTTCTTCCATCGCCTCCATTTTCAGAGGTACTTCTTTCTAGTCTTCGTTTCTCTAATTCATTATGAAGAATCATTGCCTAAGAAAAATAAAAATCAAATTAGAAAAGTATTTTCCCGATAAATTTGTCCACGAGCTTAATAACAAAAATTTGCAATTATTTATTTACAACATTTACATAATCTGCTGTTTGAAAATTAAAGATCATGATGTCATTGTGATGATAAATTGAAATTCTAGGTCAAGGTCATTTTATAAAGTTTGAAAGCCGGCCAGTGACAGTTAAACGTGCACTTTCAATATAATTATTACTGATTGTGAGTTCGCTTACTCAGCATTTAAGTATAGTTTAAACGTTTCAAAATTGCTTTCCTTTATTTTAGAAAATTGTTAAACATTTTCTTTATTTTATTTAGCAAAATAAAAATTATATTTTAAATTATTAAATTATCCTTCAATATTATCGGCTTAGAAAAAGGAAAAAAAAAGAATAATACCTTGCCCAGTTCATCTTCTAAAGAAGCATTTTCACCAGGCGATATTGTACTGGGTGTTGAATTTCCACTGCATATACCATTGACAGTCGTCTCATGTGGAAGAGTTATAGAAAGCGGTGAACATTCTTGTCGCCACGTTCCTCGACTCTCGACATCAATCTGTTGATTATTATTTATTCCAAATGGAATACGTGTTAACACAAAATATGGATTTGGAAGAAAAAGCAAGGATAAATTAGGACTTTTTCTACAATTAAAAAAATTTATTTACATAATTTTTAAATTGAAAATCTAGAAATAATTTAAATAATCATCAACAATTGTACCTATGATGAGGTCGTGCATCACAAAACGAATGAGAAATAATAGAAATATTGTTAGAATGAAAAAACTAACCGCACTATGAATTTCTTGCGACCAGCGCTTATCAAGACCATCACTTGTACTGTAACCACTGTCAACATTGTGTCTTCTATGTGATCTTGTGTCTAATGTTGCATGTCCTCGAGAATCAAGTGGTCCTTTTCTTAATCTACCGCCTCTGGCTCTCTCGTGTTTTTCCGCCTGTCTCTCCAGGTACTTAAAGATATGTATTCGCCCGCGAATGCACAACTGAAATAATTAATTATTTTCAAATTTGTTCAATCGTTAAAAAAAATAGATTATTATTATTTAATTTGTATTTTAATAGAAAATTATTTCATTTCACTTACCGAGGCAGGTGGTGAAGTTAAAGGGTTGTCTGATAAATTCAGCTCCACGAGACATTTCATTTTCCGCACCTCATTCGGAAGCACAGATATCCGGTTGCAACTAATGTCTAACTTCACCAGTTTCAGGTACGTAAGTTCTAAACACAAAGTATTTACTCATTTTTATCAAATTTCTTTATTATTTCTCCCTTTATTTTATTTTTTTTTCTAATCATTAATTCGTTCGCCTTACTTATTTTCTTTAGTCTTTACTAATTTTCAAATATTTAAAAATCTAAAAATTAAATAAATTTGAAGCGTTTCAAGAATTCGTTAACAAAACAATATCCAAGATTGATTTGATTTATTTATTAAATTTTGGAAATAAAATTAAAAAATTAATAACTTCTTTTTAGATATTTAAAACAATATTTTTTTGTAATAAAATTTGTACATAAAGAGGTTGCAAAAAAATTTCGTTCATTTGAACATTCAAAAAATTTGGCCCATGGTTCCTTGATGGAATAAAACAAAATTTTAAGTTTCTCAAATTTAAAATTTTAGTACAAAAAATAAATAATAAAATCAAAATATTTTTAAAAGAACAATTTAAGAAATACCATTTTATTTAAATATAAAATGAATCAAACTGTTCTGTATTACATTTTTCAAAAGTTTATTATTTCTTTACAAATTCAATGAATTTAAAAAAAAAATCATTCATAACTATTAATTGAAAAATTCATTTTTTTAAAAAATTACATTTATTTCAAAAAATTTAATTTTTTGGTAGATAATTTATTTTTTTTCCAATTCAATTATTTTCAAAAATCAATTCAATCAATTAATTGTTATGATAAAAAAATTAAATTATTATAAAATACAATTTTTTAAATTGTATTTTAATTATTTTTAAAATTCAAATTTTTTTTTGTTCAATTATTTTGTAAATCTAATTATTTTCATATTAAATTGTTACATAAATGTAATATTTGTATTTATTATGTATTACATATAAAAATAATACAATAATACAAAATAAATAAAATATATTTATATTTATTTTGATCTTTGAAAAAAATTAGAGACTCAGTTACTGTTTTGCGACATTAATATTACTTAAAATCGCGAAATCGATTTAAAATTGCTTTTAACTTAAAAAGTGTAAAACATTATTTTTGAAACAAACATGTTTTTTTTTACTTCAACCCGACATAAAAGTAGAGAATTCAAATTATAATTTTCAAATTTTTTTTAAAATTAAATTGTGGATATGTACTATTTAGTTCAAAAAATTTATAAATTTTGAAAAATTGATTTTTTTGTTTTGAAAATTTTTAATAAAATAAATTTTTTAAAGTAATTTATTATATTTTATTGTTAATAAATTAATTAATAAAGTGTGGTAATTAAAAAATGTTTATTTTTATAAGTTTGTTGAATTATCATAAAATGTAAGTTATACTAAGTTTTTCAAAAAATGTTATTTCTTAATATTATTTAGCAAATTTTTTAGTACTTTTTCAAAATTCTAATTAAAAAAATTAAAGGATTTAAAATTTGTTTCTGATAAAAAAAAATTATCGATTATTTTGAAAAACATATTATTGTGTACATTATTTGTGCTTGTCAATTATTGTCCAATACAAAAAAATTTTTTCAAAAATTCACTTTTGTTTATAAAAAAATTAAATCTAAAATTTGTCTGTTTTTTTCTTAGTCAAATTTTTGTTTTTTTCAAAAAAATGTCAACTGTTTTTTAATAATTAAAAATTATAATATACCTATAGGCAATTGCACCAAAAGATTGCTCCTAAGGTCCAGATACCTAAGTCGAGAAAGATCACCCATTCGCGAAGGCAATGTCGTGATCTCATTACATCCAGCATCCAATTCAGCTAAGCCTTGCATCCTGCCCAATTCCTCGGGCAGGGAAATCAATCGGTTATGAGCTACCAATAAAATTTGCAATGGTAATCTACAAATTTCCCTTGGTAGTGTTGTCAGTTGATTACGGCTGAAAATCACAAATAAACAAATTTTATTTTTACATAAAAATTTTGAATATAAATTTGAAATGAAAAAAATTTAATTTATTAAATCCTTAATAATAATTAAATTATTTATTGCTGTTATTATATTCAATTTAACTATACATATATTGATGGATGTTTTCAATTAATTATATGATCAATTGTTCAATTTATAAATTGTATTTTGAATATATTGTACTTAATGAATCGTAATTCACCTGAGGTCGAGGTAGTTTAATGACTGAAGTTTCACAACAGTCTCTGGTATTATTCTTATGGCATTGTGATAAAGGTGTAGCTTCTCAAGAAATGGGAATTCCGTGACTTCCTCAGGTATATCCAAAAACCGATTTTTTGAGAGATCTGCAACAAGAACAAAATCATTGTTTTAGTAACAAGAAAACAAAATCATCATTGTTAGCAAAAAAAAAAAAAATCAAAACAAAAAAAATAAAAATTTCAAACCAAAAAGAAATCTTTAAAAAAAATAGAAATAAAAAATCACAACTAGAAAAATTAAATCAAAAGAAAATCATCATTAGAACAAAAATATCAAATAAGAAAATATTAATCATAGTATTTATTCATTATTTACTTATTCTTCCATACTTTTCGGTTTTAGACGAAATTTTTTTTTTTTTTTTTTGAACGAGTTTTTACATTCTTTTACATTCCGTATTTTATCTATATTCTTTTGTTTTAAAATTTTTTTTCTAAAAACTAAATAAATTAAAAAAAATAACAAAAATGCTTTAATTAAAAAAAAAAAACAAATCAGTTCAAAGAATGAAGTGATCTTAATATAATAAAAAAAATTCTAAATTATGAAATAAAATAAATTGAAAGTCAGAATTCCAACAATTCCAAGAGGGGAAAAAGTATATTTAGTTGAATTGTGAAATTCGTTAAAAGGGTGTAAAATAAGGAACCTGTCCCTCCATATAGCTGGATGGTAAGAATCCGATATTTCGTCCATAGCAACAGCAATAGGAACGATTAGGGTGTTTCGCAAAGTTGTTTGAAGGGGGAGGGGGGTCGTCGGTGGTAAAATGGGGTGAGTTGGCCACGTGTATGCAGTCCCAACATTCTGGAATATAAGGGTGGTTTCTCCGCTGTTCCCGGTTTCGAACTCCCTGATCAATATAACGAAGGCCCTATATACTGGGAAATCGAGGATCTTATAATATACATCCTACTCATCAAAACTCAAAAAAGAAAGAAAAAAAACCCTCCTCCCGATGAAAACGACCTAGCAAAAATTTTGTTTCGTATTTCCTGCAAAGTACATCCGATCCGCACCTTGCAGAATCCTGTCTTAAGAAAACGCCCTTATTGAGCGGAAATTACCAATTGCCTACAGTAAACAGAAGATCCTCTATCTCTTTCTCTCTCTTATTTTTTCTCCCTTTAAATTCAGTGAGAAGAGAGGAAAAGCGAGAGTGTATACTTTGCCCTCGAGCTTAAATTTCACCTTCTACACAATTTACGTGACATTCTTCTTGCATGTATATATATATATATATATATATAAATTATTTGTTAAAAGTCAAAAACAAATGAAAGTTTTACATTATTTTTCTAGTAAAAATAAAAATAAAATAAAAAAATGTAATTATTATAATAAGGTTTTGTTATTTTTTTTTCGCTTAATGGCTTAATATATATTTATAGTAAATAAGTCTTGTGATAATTTATACTAATTTTGTGTTACAAACATTTTTTAAAAAAAATAATCATTGGGTCAATCCATTATATTTCGAATGAAGTCGTCGCTGACTAATTTTTAAAAATTATAATACTTTGCAGGAATGATTTTGAAGTTATCAAGATCACGAAATGAAAAGAATTTTATTAAAATTTTAATTATTTATTGCAAAATATGAATTTAAAGTTTATGAGGTGCTGAAAACTGTCAATTTTTTAGCCATTAGAAAATATGCAAAAATACGTAGAATTTACCATAAAAATAAAAAAATTTTTTTGTAATTTACTAAGAATGAATAAATTTATTATTATCAATTGATGTAATTATTTAAATATGTGAAATAATATATAAAATATGATTTTCAAGTTCGCCTGTCAAATAACCTAAATTTGCAAATTTCATCTATTAAATGTGAGAAAGAGAAGTCATTAAATTGAAAAAAACCTTACCAAATATAAAGTACCTGTGACTAACTTTTAGTTTTTCTTAGCACTTTTTTCCTTTTTTCTTCATAAATGTGAAATAAAAAGCAATAAAAATTGGCACTTTGCTTATTTTCACTATTTTCAAATGTAAATAACTTTCTTGGAGAAAACTGAAAAATTACAAAACTTGGGCAATATCTAATTGATCACTAAATACACACACTGGAAAAAAATTCGCTTTGGTCCCGAAGATACTTTTTGAGATAATTAAGTTTAAACTTTTCACAATTTTTATCAGGTTAATACATGTAGTTTTTTAAGGACGAAGTTAGGTTTTATTGGTTAAACATTTTGAACTAACTTCAATTTTATAAAAATCACATGCATTAACCTGATAAAAATTGTGAAAAATTTAAACATAATTATCTCAAAAAGTATCTTCGGGACCAAAGCGAATTTTTTTCCAGTGTGTGTAGTTAGTGATCAATTAGATATTGCCCAAGTTTTGTAATTTTTAATTTTTTTCCAAGAAAGTTATTTACATTTGAAAATAGTGAAAATAAGCAAAGTACCAATTTTTATTGCTTTTTATTTCACATTTATGAAGAAAAAAGGAAAAAAGTGCTAAGAAAAACTAAAAGTTAGTCACAGGTACTTTATATTTGGTAAGGTTTTTTTCAATTTAATGACTTCTCTTTCTCACATTTAATAGATGAAATTTGCAAATTTAGGTTATTTGACAGGCGAACTTGAAAATCATATTTTATATATTATTTCACATATTTAAGTAATTACATCAATTGATAATGATAAATTTATTCATTCTTAGTAAATTACAAAAAAAAATTTTTATTTTTATGGGAAATTCTACGTATTTTTGCATATTTTCTAATGGCTAAAAAATTGACAGTTTTCAGCACCTCATAAACTTTAAATTCATATTTTGCAATAAATAATTAAAATTTTAATAAAATTCTTTTCATTTCGTGATCTTGATAACTTCAAAATCATTCCTGCAAAGTATTATAATTTTTAAACATTAGTCAGCGACGACTTCATTCGAAATATAATGGATTGACCCCATTAAGACTTGAATTTAAAAAAAAAACATTTTTAAACTAAATAAGGACTCTTATATAAAATTAAAAATAAATAATTGTGCAAGATGAGAACAAAAGAAAATTCTTACAACAATTTTCAAAATAATTCATGAGCCAAAAGTTTTAAACGTTCAAATGAACGAAATATTTTTTTCAATCTTTAAACTATTAAAAATTATAATGTAAAATAAATCAGTAAATTAAACAATTATTAAATTAATGACTTCCGTTTAAATATTTAAAATAATATTTTGTAATAAAATTCGTACTTAAAGAAGTTGCGAAAAAAATTTCGTTCATTTGAACTTTCAAAACTTTTGGCTCATAATAATTCAAATTTAAATTCGAAAAACAATTTTTTTACCCATCAGAAACATTCAAAAATTATTTTTCAAAAAAAAAAATGTTGTACTGAATTATTCTAGTCCAACACAAAGAGGAAAATTATAACATGTACGAAAAATTAAAAAATTTCAAAATAAAATTCAATTTGAAAATTTTAAAAAACAGGTATTTTATAGTAAATAATAATATTTATAAATATTTCTGGATATAAAATATTTTTTTTGAATTTTCAAATTGAATTTTAAAAATTTAATTTTTTGTTAACATTATAATTGTTTCTTTTTGTGTTGAACTAACACAATTCAGTTTTTTGAATAATAATATTAATTTTTGAATATTTCTGAATAAAAAAATGTTTTTTGAATTTTCAAATTGAGTTTAAAAAAATTTTTAATTTTTGTAAATGTTAAAATTTTCCTTCTTTGTACTAGACTAGCACAATTCAGCCCAAAATTTATTTTTGAAAAATAATAATTTTTTACTGTTTTTGGGTTAAAAAATCGTTTTTCGATTTTTTTTTTTTATTGGGATCGGCTAAACTGCAATACGCCATCTGGTGGGGACCCATTCTCTCCCTCCATTTTCTTTCTTTGTCTCTCTTCAATTAATAGGTTAGAAAGAGTAGAAAAAACAAAATGGAGGGAGAGAATGGGTCAAAGTTACTAGATTGTTACTAGACCACCGTTCCCAATTTGTACCAAAGAATTTAAATTTTCATTATTTTGAATAATAATTTATACTCCAAAATTTTTGGAAATTGTAAAAATTTCTTTCTGTTCTCGACTTGCACAATTGTTTATTTTTAATTGAAAATTAATTTTTTACATTCCATATTTAAATTATTGTATTGTTTTTCGACATAAAATTTTTTTAAAATTATGTTCAGCTTAAAATTTTATGGTTATCAGTTCTTAGCAATTTGGTTGGCAACACTGTAAAGTACACTCATGCTCGTCAAGCAATATCGTGAGAAAACGTGGTCATTTTTGTTTATGTTCTTATACATTTTATGTTATTATATCATTTCTATATAAATTATAAATTATTTTATTGTTAAAAAATGCCATGGATTTGCAGAAGTTATTAATCTCATGGGGATTCAAGGCCTTAGTTCAAACATAACCTCAAAATTCAAGGACATAGGTCATTTGAAGCTATGTCGGACAAACATAACTTCAAATTCCCCTAAGCAAGAAACGAACATAACCTCAAAATTTAGATAAAATTTTAATAATTTTAATACTTGCAAGCTTTTAAAAAATTAATCATTAAAGTGGAAAATGGGGATTGGACATTTTTGGCCAAACAAAATTACAAGATCTTATTAATTTATAAGGCTTATAAAAACATTTTTATTATTATTATTGATAAAATATAAAAATATATTATGTAAGTTTTTGTTGCGTATTTAATTAATATCCGATAAACGATACGGGTCAATGACCTTCAGGTAATGTGCGGGGAAAAAAGCTTGTTTAAAAAACGATATAATATAGGATGAAACACAGCGGACGGTATAATCTATTGTTTTTAACGTGAAATTTACGTTGAGCGATAAAAGGCTATTGCTACCAACCCTTTGGTTGCAAGTTATAAATATAAGTGCGATGCAGAACTTCCGCAACGGTAGGCTTGCGAGTCTTTGATATAGTAGTACATACAACAACCGATAATCATCAGTTCCGAGTGAGCCCCAGACTAGACTGGAGACCTTTTCAGAAAGCTATGCCTTCAGAATAAAGGGTCGATGGCCCAGGAATCGTGGGGGTCGACGTCAAGAACCAAGGT